TTTATATTGTTATAACGTTATATTGTTGAAACAAATTTGATGAGTTCACATACTTAATTTAATATTTTCGCTTACCAAACGGAAGGATAGATTAACAACTTTTTTGTTGTTGCCTGCATCTCATTGTGCATGTAGCTGATCGTTAAGTTCTAAATCATTTAACAGATCTCTTTAACTGTAATTTATAACAGTATATTAATGTTATTTGCTCAAAAATAATAATTGTTAGACCACCTTTCTAAATAACTTTATCTTAAAATGTAAGGCAGATTTACATTATAATACTAATAAGAAAACAGCAATTCTCTTAGTTTTAAACTCTTGAATTAAAAGCGTAATAATAGCAGTACAGGAAAATAACTTTAAGTTAGGGATTCAAAAATATTTAAAGAAAAGCATGACTTTTATTAATTTTATGCTGACTACAACCAAAACAATAAGGAGACGAATGAGGAAAAACTGGATCACACCACGTGATTTTCTGGCCAATAAAAATGCACCGACAACAATGGAAAACTGCGACACCATCATTAGAATTTTATATATAGTAAGATTTCCAAAGGTAAAAGTTACGATTCGTTTGCTTCATGGATAGCTTTTTTTCATAAATTTTGTTTTCTTTCTAATCTTTTATTGACGTTACTCAGCAGCACTAAACTATGAAGAACTGAAAAGTCTTAACATGCGTCATCAGAGAATTTGTTACAAAATGTTATACCAAAATTATTTTTCCAAAAGAAAAATTGTGATTCGTTTGTTTTATGGACAGCTTATTTTTATAAATTTTGTTTTCTTTCATTTGAAAACTAGGTAATTTTTGCTGATAAAAAGCACTAATGTTCCTAGTTAAGCATGTTTCGACCCTCCATTTCTGAACATCTTATACCTCAGTTTCTATCAGCTTTTTATGGGCCAAATAAGAAAAGAAAAAATTTTCTATAAATTTGTAATTGCAGAAATTTGTACTGTTTGAGCACTCATGCTTATGACTGTTCAAATACTTAATATTTCAGCATTTTGTTGCCAATGCAAAAAAGAAATTTTACTTGTTTTTAGCAATGTACGCATTGGTGTTTTATATAAAATAGATAACACTAGAAAAGAAAAAAAGCTGTATATAGACATCTTCAGAAAGCCTTTTCATATGCAGGTTTGTTTTTCATTAATTGGGTAATTTATTTAGTATAAAAATGTGTGACAAAGTGTCTGCTTTTTTATCAAAATCTATTTTGTCATTTGAAAAATTAGAAGGGGAAAAAAAATTGTGAAACTAAATTTTTGATTAATTTGTTTTAGCCTGCTTTTGATGATATATTTCGATTTCATTTTCTAAAAATTCTAATCACACACTATAAAACATTTTTTTTACATAATATAAAATTTCATTCATTTATTAATACTAATATTAATTTTATAATATTTCGATTTTAATTGTACTTAAAAATTTAACTAACAATATATAAATTTTTCCAGTCCCCAATCATGAAAAAAAAAAGATTCATTTTCTTTTAAAAAGGTTTTTTTTTTAAAAGTAACTTTTAAATAAAGAGAGATAATGTAAACAAAAATATATAGGGTTACTAACTGAAAAATTAAAATAGTTTTTAAGATCTATTTTGTAAAACTTGCAGACAAACAATAAATTATTCAATGTATACACATACATACCTGTGAACAAATTTTCTACATTCAAGATAAGACAAAGCAGTACTCAACTGGTATGCATACAAAATTAATATACCCAGATCGAGGCGTGACTGATTGTTTTGAAGATATGCTCTCATCTAAAATTTAAAAATGAAATGGGGAAATAAGAAAAAATAAATAATATACACAAGTAACATATAAATCATTAAAGATAAATTGCTATTTGTCCCACCCACCACTAAATTTTGAAATGGCTGGGTGATATAACCTAAAATGTCTAGTTACATAAAGTTACAGAAATAATACTGGCACTAAATCTCATAAAAAAGAATAGCTTGATTTATGGTGATCGCAAAATTTTAATAGGATTGCTGTGACCATTTTAAAATTAAATTATGAACATATTTACAGTCTAACTTCTCAAAGATACTATACAAGGAAATTTTTCAAACAAAATAATAATTTTTTTCAATACAGATTTAAAAATCCAATAGTAGATCTTCACACAAATGATTTAAAAAAAGTTTAGAAATACACTCATTTTTATATTAATGATCATTTTTCATTTTGCACTTATTTAAATAATAATGTGGCTACCCATTTTAAGAAGAAGAAAAAATAGCTGTCTATCAGGTAGCAAGAAGAAAAAAATTCACAACCTCAAAATTTTTGAAGTTCAATCTTTCATGAACTATTCAACCGATTTTGCTCAAATTTTGTATTTTGCCTTGTAAAATGACATTCTTTAAAATGATGCAAAAATTTTAACTATACCTTACAATTCAAAATTTTTTTGACCATTAATCAATAAAATAATGATTATTTTCAAAGGTTATTTTTTTGCATGGAATTATCTTTGGATAAACTAATTTTATAATTGTGTGCAATGATTTTCCAATTCGATTAAAAAGTTCTCGATATATAGCGCAATACACAAAAAGTAAAATTAACCATTAAGCGGTCCAAATTTTGGAGCACTCTCCTGACCAAACTATTGAGACCATATATCCCAGATTGCGGCTACTCTCTACATTTTGAGGGTCAGAAATCTGAATCCGTCAAAAAGAAGATAAAGGTATGTTTATCCAGAGAAAGTAGGTTTTTGTGCCTGATTTTGTAACTTAAAATATTGCCTGTACTTATTAATTAGCAAATTTGAGGTTAACCCTTTGAGCTATTAAAATTGAGTCCTATCCTAGAGCGTGAAAATCCGATCATCAGATCAGAAGTTAGTTGGGTAATCTGCTTTTTTTTTTTTTTGACACATTGCACATTTTGTAGACGTGAGAGCCGATGAAGCCTTTAAAAATAGCATTAAGCGGTACGTATTAAGAATGCTCTAAATACGTACATGATAGAAGGATTTTTATAGTTTATTTATTGATAAATAAAATTTTTACTTATTATTAACAAAATCAAGTGTAGTGCAAATCTTAAATACAACATTCTACATTAAAAGTGGCAAATAATAAGCTAAAAATGCACCTGAAATGGCTAAAAAGCATTTCCGTGTCGACAAAAAGATGCTGTTCAGCAACAATTTTTATAATTAAAATGCTATATTAAAATCAATATAAGCTAATTTATACATGGATTTTAACTACTTGTTTTGAAGCTATTATTACATCTGTAATTTTTCTCACAGTTTTTTCTATTAATTACCCGGCACTGTCATATTTTCAACATTCCAGAGAATCATTATATTTCTCCTTTATTTAAGATTTGAATTTCATAATGAGATTGATATAATTAAAGATCATCAGTTTGTAACAGTATTACTTTTATAACTTATTGCCGCCAAATGCAGAGCCAGATTACCCATTAGGCCAGGGTCTGGGGTCCCCAATGATTAGAGGCCCCCTTAAAATAGATTTTTTGAAAATAAATTTTAAAAAATTAAGAAAAACAATGATTTTAAAATTTTTCCAAAATGTTATTATTTTTTAAGTTTTAATTTAATAAAATAAAGTAAAATTAATTTATTATTATTTTTATTTTAAATATGCTTTCTTAAATGAAAAGATAGATAAATACTTTTATATTTGAATAAATAAAAAATATATGAGAAAAAAATTAAATCTAAGGGCCCCAAAAACTTGAATGGCCTAGGGTCCTGCTTCTGCTTAATTCAGCCCTGACTAGCTGCAGGCACAGCTAACAACAATACTACAACAAGTTTAAACTTTTAAACATTCCTCTAAAAAAATCAAGTTTATAAAATAAGTAACTGATAAGAATGTGCACTAAAATAATTTTCAGAAGGGTAAAAGTGTGAACTTTACAGACTGAAATTAAAAAAACTCACCTCGCCATGCTTAGCCAGCTCCATTACTATCCATATGGGAGATTCAGAGCAGATACCAATAAGACGAGTTATATGTGGATGATCAAACTGTTGCATAATATCTACATACATGAGTGAGAAAAAAAAGGAATTATCACATAAAAATATTTTTTTTAAATATAAATCTTACTTATATATATGTAAACATTAAAAATTGTTATTTATTATGATTTACCACAAAAAGACATAATAATAATAGCAAAAGTTCTATCTTTATGCATTTGAACAATTATGATAATATTGTCCATTTAAAAACTTTAAACAAATTTATCTCAATCCTTCTCAATTTCAAAAAAAATAAATAAAAATACCCTGATTTTTTCCAGGTATAACAGATAAATTCCAATGAAAATTCATATCATATTTTATTTGTACCATGCAATGGTAGGCATTGGTCCTCGTTAAACTGTTCTACCCTACCGTAATGTGCTTGACTTCGCGTGCAGGTCGTCGGGCTACCGAAGCGGGGGTGCCATCCACTCTGCAGAGGATCAAAATTCTGATGGCATGTCTTCGGATCATCCTCAGGGATGTTTCCCAGACCGTCGCCAATAGCCCATTGTGCAGCTCTAGTACGACGTAAATGAACAAATCAATCAAACCATGCAATGTTTCATTAAAAAACTGATTTTATAAACATTTATTTACAACAGATAGAGTGTAATTTAACAGACTCTGGAAATGTAAATATATGATTAAGCTGTTTTATGATACCTATTTAAAATTTCTGAAATTTATTAGGAAACTATACATATAATAAAAGAAAAATATCTTACAGGCTTCTTCTAAAAACTTTTCACCTACAGATTCTTCACTTTCTACTTTACAAGTTTTGATAGCAACAGGAATACTTTGTGAATCCTTTGAAAAAAAAAATATGTTTTTTTTTATTATCACATAATTCTTCCTTACATGTGCATTTACAAAAAAAATTATAAATTGTCAGTCATAACTAGAGCATGAAATTAATAATAATTATAGTGCAGAAAAGGGCCAGACACTAAATGGTCAGAGGAATATTCATACAATTATAAACTAAATATTAGAGGAGCCATTAGTTTCAATATCAACATAAATAATTTCTCAGAAATTTTAAAGGTGAAAAAAAGTAACACATATCCAAGGGTTATTAGATAAAAGTTTGGCTACGACGATCATCTTAGTTTCCATCTTAAATGGCTTTGATTTTAAACTGTTTGGGTTTATGCAAATTGAAAAAAGAAACTTGTGATTTCTATTAAACTGGTTACGATGAGGTTTTATTTTGATACATTAATTTTGATGAACAAACAACTGATTACTGTACGTCTTTCTTCATGATAGAAAATTGTGTATAGACAGAAAATAAATTAATCTTTTTACATTCATATGATATACAAATTTCTTAAACCAAATGTATTAAAATTATACCATAAAAATTAATAATACAATAAAGATTTATTTTATGGTTAAAATATTTCAAGCTGGTTTATTATCAAGAAAGAGGGGAATCATCAAGAACCGAAAGGGATTAAGCTGATTTTGAAATTAAATTGCCTTAAAAATATAAAAAACATAATGAAAAAAGAAAAGAAAAATATTGGAATGAAGCCATAAAGATAAGAATAATTTTTACCTTGTATTTATAAGTTCCTCTGTGTACATCTCCAAACTGACCTTCTCCAATAATATCTTCTAAAGTGATATCACCTCTAATCAATTCATAATCTCGAGCTGCAAATTAAATGTACTCATTTAGAAGTTGTTCAAAAGAAGATAGTGAAAAAGAAAGAATTTATTTAAAATATTTCTTACCAACAGGTGTAGAATAATCTCCCTCGTCATCAATCAAATCACTGCTGTCTCCTAAATAAAAGATAAAAATAGTTAGTTATTATGTAATATGCATAAAAAAATAGCTCATAAAACAATTTGAGTTATTCCTTAGAATTTTTAGATAATGTCACAGCACTTTTGGGAAAAGGCTCAAATTTGAGCAGTAACATATTTGTTTTGACTTTTTTTCATAACAGATGGCTCCACTGGATCTTGTAATCAAGAAAGATTTTCTTTCTCCGTCAGATTTGTATTCGCAATGATCGTAAATGAGTAATATTTGCTTTGGCAATATGGCCTATGAAAAGTAATTACTCATTTATTATTCAATGAAAAATAGAATCGCAATGTTATGTATAAATCATGCACTGATAATCAATTAATGAAATAAAAAATACATTTCGGTAAGATTTTGAAAACTTACACCGTTGTGCTAAATTGTTATTGTTTCATTTCCCACATTGTATTTGTTTCTTTAATTCCCATGATATTCTACTTAATTTTTATGATTTACCAAGGGTTAATTCCAATAATAAAGTTACAACAACTAATAATATCAATGGATTATAAAATCAGCAGCTTTTTAAAACCAAATTTGCAAAAACAGACTCATTACAATATCAAAATATGCTAAAAGCATCTTTTAATAAAATATTTACTTCTGTTCCGTAAATAAAAATTTTTGTTTGGCATGCCTTAACCCTAGATAACTAAGTCAACTTCCTGCATTTTTATTTCAGCTTAATATTTTGCTTGATTACAGTAAATAATGTCAAATCAACACAAAAAATATTTTTTTTAAAAATTAAACTATAAAAAATATTTATTTAATAAAAATCAAATGTTTCCAATTTTGGGATGTCAGGCACGAAGGGTTACAGGTTTTTCTCCATTTAAAGATGAATCCAAAACATGTTATCAACTGAAACTTAAAAATTCAACAAATTGAGCCCTTTTTAGTAAAATAAGATTTTTAGTTTCTTTAGAAAAAATTAGATACAGTTATTTTGAATAAAAGTATTTTAAACATTTTTAAGTCCGATTTTGCATTTATTGCACTTTCCAGTGACCTTTTTTACCTCAATTCCCACAGTGTAACTGTGTTTTATTCACGTAAATAAATAGGTTTATACCACAATATATAATGAAATATTTGAATACTTTGCAACTGTGTGTTTTAGTAATAGGTTTACATGAACCAGGCAAAGTGGTCATTGGCATATATACATTAAACATATATCGTGTTTAAAGTTAAGGGAATCTACAGATTTTATAGAAGAAGGTGGGCACAAATGATATATGTGCCAAGTATTTTGAATTGCACTTTCTGACCCAAATACAAATAATGGTCACCACCACTTCATTATATACAAAAAATGGCCACCACCACTTCATCATATACAAAAAATGACCACCACCACTTCATTATATACAAAAAATGGCCACCACCACTTCATTATATACAAAAAATGGCAACCACCACTTCATAGGCAGTATGGTATAATGATATGCTTTTTCCTTTACAGAAAAAATAAAGTCTCAAAAGCCAACATTTAAATCATGTTTTTCAAGTTTCCTACCGTATAACATATTTACATAGAAATGTTTAAGATATTCTCACTTCTTTCATAATAGAAAGTTAAATTTATGAAACTAATATAGATAATAAAGAAAATTAAGAATATTAATATTTTATATTAATATTCTTAATTTTCTTTATATATCTACTGAAATTAAGAATATTTATATTTTAATAATCAAATATGCCAGATACATGTTTTAAATAAATTTTTAAAAATATCATTGAGATAAAACAATGTTATAATGCACAGAAAGTGTAGGGAAAAATGTGTTCCCTTTTGTGCCTACCTGTCCAAAATAAGGACAATATATAAATGTTCAAAAAAGCAACTAAAAAGGGAAAAAAATAACAAAAAATGCAAAAATATGTATTTTAAAATTTTATTTTGGCTAATAAATAGTATTAGTAATAAAATGATTTATAACAAAAATAAACACGATATCTTAACTTTTCTTACTGCCATATTTTGTCAGGAAAATCAGCATTTTTGCTGCAAGCAAACATCTATTTCATCATTTTAGTTTTGAAAATGTGCTGCCCTCATTAAATATAGATTAGGAACAATAATTTTAGATATGTATTGTATAATTTTGAAGAGATCTGGCAAATTTTGCAAAATTTTTACAGAAAACCTTTCAAAATCAGTAAGACATGCACAAATGGGTGAAGTTACAAAAAATGCAACAACCAATAAGCTTAATCAGTAAAATACAGGTGAGGTCGTAAAGAAATACCTAAAATAAAAATTAAAAAAAGAAAGAAAAAGTTGAACATCCATATTCCTGAAAAACTTTGTTAGTTGAATCTTTCAAACACTAGAAATAAATTTATTAAAAGACTGTTTAATTACCTCGAAATACAATTTCTTTCTTGTTATCAGTATCATCGTCAATGTCACTTTGAGGAGAACTGTTATAAAATAAAGAAATATTATACAATTGATGACTAAAATGGACATTAAAACTTTGCATAAAATTTCACCTAATACAACAAGAAAATTTTTTTTTAAAAATTTGTATTGAATAAAACTTAATATTACACATGTAACAAAACCAGTTGATGCAATATTAATTGGAATATTGTTTTTGCAAGTTGTTTGAAACTTTTCAAAAATAAAAATAAATGTATAGATGTTATACCAGAAGATTCCACAAAATAATTTATACTGAATATAAAACCTTTCATGAGACAGAAGAAAATCAAATTCTACTTATGAACCTTCAAGTAGGAATAAACTTAAATCAAGAATATTGATTTCATTATACACACAAAAATGTGTACTTATTGCACATTATTATAAAATGTAACACATTTAAGTTATAAATGATGTTATTAAAAATACAGTAGAACCCTGATTATTTTTAGCCACTAAAATCGAAACTACTTAGAATAATGGGAAGATTTGAAAGAAAAAGATTTATTGCCCGATTAAAAATTTAATTTACTTCAAAAGTGGTACATAAAAAGGAAAAACAGTTTACATGTTTCAAACGCTTCAGAAATAGGTACTCTTTCTCGAGGCTTGGCAGATATAAAAGAGAAGAAACATAAGTGATATGAAATATAAAACGCAAAGTTTCCAATGAAAAATGGGGAAATAAAGATGTGAGACAAGATTAAAAAACACAGAAGATAAGAGAGAAAAAAGATGAAAACAGAACAAGAAAAAAACATGGCGGCTGAATCAGGTAAAATACATTTCCACACGTTATGAAGAAGAACCAATGTCGTTAACAGAAGAATCAGCAATCATACGAATTAAACAAGATTTCAGAACATCAATATGAGCTGATGTGACAGAGGTGGAAATAATTTTGGTATTGTCAAAATTGAATTTATGAAAGATATTAGATAATACTGAATTGGGTTTTTCTTTGTTTGATTGATTGTAATAAAGTTTAGATCTGAAAACTCATTTTTGGTGACTTAACCTTCTCATGCATTCAACTTACTTCAGTGATGTCGTAGACTGTGCAGATAGACTGCGTTGATGTTGTATAGTTCTCAATGTCAACCTTTTTCTGTAGTAAGTGAGTACTATTCTTACTTTTTTGTTGTTTTGATACTCTGTTCGTCAGAGTGCAATGTGTCTGAGTATTTCAAGTTAAATATGTTTTTATATAAAAAGTTTACCATGAAACTTTGTTTGTTTCTGTTTTAATGAAAGTTAATATTTAGTGACAGTGATAACAGATATATCTATCATGTTTCTTAAGTCTAAATTTTAAATCGCGCCCAGTTTGCCCGATGCAAACATGAACGGATATGATGGTCACATCAAACTAATGTGAAGAGAAAGCGTAGTTCTGTTCTTCATGTCTAAAGTATCTTGAACATGCATCAGATCTCTAATGTTTCCCCATCGATGTTGTTCTTATCATTCAAGACCTTACAGCCCAGAGGATGAAAAATAACTTATTTTTCACACCTACTTTGATGTCTTATGGGGTGTAACAGGATTCACATATAAGGTTAGTAGAGGAATTTTTATTATATATCTGACAAAATATATATAAATGACAGACTTATATAAATGACAAAAAAATTTCTGATTAAATATTATTATCCAAAAAAATAATAAAAGCTTCAGCCCAATGTCAGTGAGCAGAAGTCTGTCCAGTGCAATTTCAACCATTTAGGGGTACCTTCACAAATTCAACTTAAGGTAAAACGGTAGTTTCACAAAATACTTCGAACAAAACAAGTTCTAAGATTCTCCTCTCCATCTCTTAAAATTTTGTTTTTGTATAACCTAGACAAAAATGTTCTCATAATGGAAATAACTTTTAGTGCTAGTACTGTTAAATGCATGTGTTTATTAAATTCAAGTTGAAATTTAACTATGGACAAATGTTTCTAAGGATTTTCAAATTTGGATAAAATTTTAAGACCAAAATTTTACAATAGCAAAATTATTTTTGAATATACGGGGAAAAACATATAGAAACTTACCAGTCATAAATTATTTTTATTTGTATTGACAATTTTTGAAAATATTTTCTTACTTTACCATATCTTATGTGTTAATTTTTTAATATTATTTTTAATTTTCACAAATTATGTCTATATTTTCATAAAATAGGTACCTTTCAAAAAAATCTAGATAGACCTCTGGTGAGTCATCATAGCATATTAGCAAAAGGGGAATGAACATTTTTTGAGCATTTGTGAGGAAAAAAAAAAAAAAAGAGTTCATAATAAACTTCCATTAACAGATATATTTGGATTAAGAAAAGTTGGTTAATCAAGGTTTAACTATACTTGAAAACTGCAAAATACGTTATAAACTGCATTGAACAAAAAATTTTGCAAAGGAGAAATTCTTACCTCAAATTAGGACACCTTTCATCTAAAAAATAAATAAATAAAATAATTAAAAAAAACTCAGTTGAATTTTAAAAACTAAATATATCAAGTAAACCAAAGAGGAAACTTACTCTTTCTGTTCCAAAAAGATGTTTGAGTTTTATGGACTAATCGACAATACCCATCAATTAGATCGGCCATACTTTCTGCTATGGCCAGTGTCGGACAAGACACACTTAACATCTAAACAGAAAGATTATTAATTAGATAAATAAAGCTAGAATGATGCTGCAAACATACAGACAGTAAAAAAATTTTTAACAAATTACTGCTTCTAAAACTTTTTCGATTCGTTTACAAATAGATTATTAATTTTTCAAACATAACATAATTAAAATTAAGGAACGTAAAAAATGAATGACAGATTATTAACTTTTAATTAATATGTTGATAATTAATATGACTTGCTTCGTTTATTCTGTTCATTTATTAACAGTAGCCCCTGGGGCAGAATTTTTTCAGGCTTTCTGCGACAAACTTCCCTAGCCCTAATATTTTGCTTTAAGATACTTTTAATTATAATAATAACTAATTTAAAGTAACAGAAACGTTGTGTTGAGAGAAGAAAGTATATAATAAAAATTTTTAATTTAAAGAGTAATATTTTTTCATTCTAATATTGTATTATTCTAACATTATAAATTCTAATAGTATTCTTGCATTTTGTAGGCGGAAAAAAGCACTAATTATTTCCTCTTTCAGATTTTGTAAATCAACACAAAAATTAAAATTCGTAAATAAATTAATTGAAAATAAATTAAAAATTTTAAAATCCGTTCAGTAACACTCAAAATAAAGATGGACGACGAAATCACAGGAATAGGATTCTTTAAAAAAGAGAATTAATAAGTGTATGTAAAACACTGTGTTCTTCAAAGAAAAAATGAAAGAAAGAACATTATTTCTAGAGTGAAATATATTTTAAACTATTACAATTCCTGAGTTTTTTAGTTTTATATTATTAATTTGAAATTCCAGCTGAAGATAGTCATTACCGATTTTTTAAAAAAAATCTCAAATGAGAAAAAGGAAAAACCAAGATTATTTCTTTCCTCTCTAATGTGCAAGAAAGACATTTTTTTAAAAAAAAATTAAGCAGGGAAAAATAAACATTTTTTGAAAAATTATGCAGAAAAGAAAACCAAAATTTTCCCCTTCCTGAATAAAAATCTTCCTGCAAAATCTCTAACTTTCTGTGACAATGTCGCCACGAGGACAGTAACAATAAATATTATGTAACTAAAACTAACTAAATAAAAAACAGCCATTACAGTTAGCTTACATAGCGTATAATGCTCATTTACTTCCATATCCTATCTCTTCTGATAAACATAGGGTATTAAATCAATAAAATCAAGGAATGGAAAGTTTTTTTTTAAATATTACGTACCTCTGAAGCACCAGATATTTTCAATTGAAGGATGGCTTTGCATCCACTCTCGTACTCAGACTGAATAGTATGTAGCGACTGAACCTGATGAAAACTTGCCATGTGTGTTGGCTAAAAAAAAATCAATATATATACATTTTCATTTAAAAATCATAAAGGAAGCTATATCTTGCATTTAAAAAATAATGAAGGCAAATATAGGGAAAAAACAATATACAGTAAAAGCTTGAAACAACAAGTAGAGCAATTTCAGGGGTCCCAGACTGATGGATCACCAAATTTCAAGCTCTCTCTTTATATATAGACATTAAAAAAAAAAGCCTGATTGTCTTACTGGCATTTAAAGATACGAATATTAATGATAACTAAATACATGTTTTCTTTTGAACAGTTAAAATATCTAGATAAAAAAATTAATGGTGTTCAAAAAGAAATGAAAAAACAAATACCTGTGTAGCTCGATCTGTTAAGTAGCTGATTCCAAGATCAGGACCAATGACTAGTTCAATTGGAACACTCCAACCACCCTTAGAGAAAAAAAGATAAATTAACATAAAATCTGAATTAAATCATTAAATTAAAATATGCATCATTTAAAGTAAAAAGGTAATGCATCGTAATGAAAATATTTAAATACTGTCCTCCAATTAGAAAAACAGAAAAGTTATAAGTGCAATATGAAAACTAAGCAAGGAAAAATTAAATCTCTTTTTATAAATTTTTTCTAAGCATTAAAGGGTTTAAAAATAAAAAAAGAGAACAATAAGTATAAAATTAATGATAAAAGGGTAGAAACCTCATTAAAAACTCAGGCTATGATGAAATGAGTACATATAGTTTCTGGAAAGGAGTTGAGATTTAAAAATTTAGTTAAGTGAGTTGAGTTATAAATTGAAAATTAAATAGAAGTATTTGAAAAAATTCAAAATAGAAAACATATGCACAATTATATATTAAAAAAAATAACCAAAAGATTTACTTACACCTAGGGCACACTTGAAGATTTCTCTGTCATACAATAGTACAGGGTGGACTAGACGAAGAAATTTGAACATACAATCTACTTCACTGAGGGAGACAAACTTTTTCATATGTGATTGCATCAGCTTCCTCAAAGTTTTTGGCTAAAAAGTAGGATAATAGTAATTACCTTTGAAAACCCAGTAATTAAGAAACAGAAATAAAATAATTGAACATTACATTTTTTAAAAAATAAAGAGAAAAATAAAGCAGGAAAATTCTACTTGTTTACTTTGCCCTGTATTTTGTGTAAAATATTTTCTGTTATAAATAAGTCATTTAATAACAGGAGAAACTGATTTGTCCTGCAGCAAAGTTACCTAGTTTTTAAGCTTTGGGTTAGGCAATCCAGATTTAAACGGTTAAACCACTCACCACTTTTTTTTATTTTTTATTAAATATTATTCACTTAAAATAACTTTTAGAATACAAAATGAAAGATGTACATATTAAGATATTTTGAAATCATTTCACAAAACTAAAATACTAAAACTTACTATTACAGGGTGCAGAGTCAAATTTTTCAACAAAAAATAAGCACCTTTAAAATATTTTTTAGCACTTAAAAATATTTTAATCATTTTTCTTTTTTTAAAAAAAAATCATAATTAGGATATCCACTGTAAAAAATTTTTTATTTTCTTTCTGCTGTTTAAAGTTCATTTATAAACGTAAAATCAACAAAATGCAAATATATTTTCAATGACTTTACATAACCATGATAAAACTAGTTTCTGATAAATATTGAAAGAAAAATAGAGAAAATTGAATAGAGACCGTAACTTATGACAACACGCGACACAGCAAAGAAAAAATATCATTTTGAAAAAGAAAAAAATTCAGCATTTTTTAAAAACATCCAATTGAAAAAACCACTTTTAAGGGCTTTTAAAAAAGGTAAATCAAAAATAAGCCCCATTAAGCACTTATTAAAATCGCTACGCACCCTGTATTAATTAGAAATAAAACTGGAACATCAAACATATTTCCTCACACTCGCACACAATTTTAAAAATATTTATAAAAGAAAAGGTGCTTACTTTATGTGCAGTAATCACAGCAGCAGGTAAGAATTTGTGCAGGCCAACATCACGTTCCAGATATTCAAAATTTGACTTCTTATCAAGAGCAATATGGGAGAGATCTTTAAAAAATCTCCTGCAATCATGTAAATGATGTTAATAAAATTATTTTTGAATAACAATCAAGCTCATTTTAAAAATATAAACCAGAAATAAACTGAAGTTACCGAATTTCAATGCAGCAAAGTTGAAGAGCCAATTCTTGATCTAGATTACACTTTAACTTCAAATAATCATTCTTCACCTAAAGATGGACACTTTTGTAGTAACATCATTATGAATAGGATAAATTTTACTTAGCCTACTTACTTAGATTGAAATTAAATCCATGAACAAACATTCTGTTTAATGTATGCACATATTAGCATCACTTACACAATTTTAAATTAAAATATATATACATTCACCAGAGATACTATTTTGTAATGTATATTTAACGACTCTTAACATTCTTAAAAGAAACATCACTTATGAAGCGATTATAACTAACATTACTAAATGCTACAAAGATTATCTCTAACAGGATTATAAAAAGTATTTTTTTGTTCTCAAACAAGAATTAAAAAAAAATTTAGAACATTATATTTTTTTAGCAATATTATGTATAAGAAGTTTAATTTTAAACAACAATTATTTAATGTAGCAGCAAAAAGTTTTCTCAATATTAACTTATTTTTAAAAAATATATTTTAATATTTCTCATTTCAGTTTTATACAGAATAATTATATCTATGTATCATATTATTAAAAAGTTGCTTCAGTATTTGTACTTAACAGTATTTGATAATTTGATTACTATTTAAGTATGATAGTATTAATTTGATTTGTAGCAAAATACATGTTTAGCATGTGATTTAATTTGATTATATTTCAATAATTTTTTACACATTAATGTTTATGAAAATGGCAACACTATTAAGCAATTGTCAGACAGTAATGAAATTTATGCTGCACATTACTGTAACTGAAATCTATACCACATACTATAAATAAACGTTTGCAATAGTTTTACGTGTGCCATTACATTGTAATTCTAATTATTTGAATGTTTTATCTCACTCTTCATGTAATTTTGTTTCACCTTGCATAATTCTGTTACTGCTGCAATTTTCCAAACACAAATGCATAGTTATAAAATTATGCTTTTCCATACTCCTGTGCATGAAATATTGAAAAAAAATATATACCAGCTGCTTCAATGTCTTAAAAGAACTTGCTAAAAAAAATTTTCATTTGTTGCTTTTATACTTACTTATATAAAAATGATGTATTATACAGCTTCAAAATTAACTAAAATCAAACTAAATTGCATAAAAAATATTTATAGATCAGATTTTTTTAAAAAAAAGTTGATTTCATTTCTTTCACTGGGGTTTGAAAAAAATTATTTCATTCAAGGCATTTTTTTCCATAGTTTTCCCAGAGTAATAGCAATACTCGATTTATTAATAACATGCCATGCACGGTGTGGTATCAACGATTGCCTCAATGGCTACCCTGCTTTGGGCAGCGTAGTATCAATAAATGACCCAGCTCATAAAATCAATAAGAAAACATTACTTAATTATGTGCCCCACTACAATGTTAAACACATAGATCTTTAAAATACACCCACTGTGCAAACTATTTATATAAGCAGAAAAGCTGTATCAGTTCTACATTTTTGCTTAACATGTTAATATTTTACAAATATAATAGGTTATTTATGGAGTAATGTTTCTCAAAATAATTACAATAATTTTTTTAACAAATTTATGAGTGACAAAAATCAAGTAAAAATACATTTAAAGTGAAAAAAAAACATCTATATAAAATGTGAGAACGCACCTGTTCGTAAAAATAATGGAATGTCACTTTATCTTTCTCATATAGTTCTCGCAGGTCACTTGGTAAATATCGCACTCGTAATTCATATCTAAATACATTTAAAAAAATTCATTAATAACATCAAAATTTCTCATAAATGAAAAAAGATAAATTATAATCTACATGCACAACTGGCGAGGAGGCCTGGCAAGTGTAACTCAACTATCAAAAGATGTGATCTATTTAATAAAATACTGGAACTTATCAATTTTTGGGATGATAAAAATATATTACCACAATATCTATATATATAGTAAAAACCTCTATTACTACAGTAACAGTAGTTCACATTACCACAATTAACTAAACCTCGTTGGTATCAATAATAGTTTTGAATTTTTTTTATACCCCCTAAAACAGATAACCACCTAAATATTTAGCTCTAATTTCTTAAAATTATGGGCAGAAGGAAAAAAAAAAGATGCATTTAATGCTATAATTCTCATTTTAAGATTCCAATTACATGAGTACTTAATTTAGCAACTTTATATTTTGATTGAAATTCAAAATATAAATCTTTTTAATGAAATGTAAAAAATATTTATCACATCATAAATAAAAATCTCTTGAAAGTAACTTTGAAAATGCAACATTAAAACAATATAGCAAAAACTAAGTAAAACACATTTATTTCCAAGTAAGTTTATGTTTATTTCAATTTTAAGCAGGCTTCTTAAGATAACTTATAAACTTCTTAAAGTTCATTAGTAACTTTATTCAGGTTTTAATCAACATACTTTGTTATTTTTGGTTTATAAATTATTTTGCTTTTCCTGTATTATGTATTAAATGTGAATCTATTTCTGTGATATTTTATGTATTTTTTCCAAAAGGAGACAGATAAAACTTTTGTTTTAATAAACAGAAGCAGTTTTAATAAACAGTATTGTATTCATGTTTCCTTTTTTCTATTTCAATCTAAGTATAATTCATTTTTTTTATAAAAAATTCTTTTCATAACACAATCATATGCAATGTTTCTTCAAAATATAATTTGATTACATGAAACTCTTTAACACATAAAAAAAAAATTATATTATTATATTCAATTTTATCGTTAATCTCATCAAAATATTAATTGCCTAAACTTAGATTTGCTGAACATACTGTAATATTTTAAATGAAATTTATAAATTGGCTAGAAATGTACAACTATGTTAGAAACCATGCTGTAAATAGCTAGCTATAATTATAAATCAAATTTTATAAATTTAAAATTTCATTTACAAACATCATTAGTAATAAATATTTCTAATAATAATTTCAAAAAATCAAAGGACTATAGTTAATTGGTGAATTAGTAACATTCTAGTTACTTTGGCACCACCAAATTAAGTAAAGAAACTTATACAAGCTTTTGTAACACTTACAAGTTAAATTGATAAACACATTTTCATTTGTAGAATACAAAAGTGCCAACTTCACAAACTAGCTATCAGTAATTAGAAGCACAACAACACGGAAATGTATATAGTTAGTCTGTATATAATTAAAATTATCACAATTTATATAAACTACTTAATTTTATATAAATACATGATAGTAAAAAAATTATCAAAAGCTAGTAAACAGTAACATTAGGATAAAGGCACTAAATTAAGCATTATACAATTCTGAAATTTCATACTTCATTATAAAATGAAATGAAATACTTGAAATCAATATTGTAGTTTTTGGTTAAATAAGAACTAGCCCTCATTGCCTTTTAATCTTAGTTTCAGAACAGCTTGTTGGAAGAGGGAAAGATGAAATTTCTTTTTATTTTTAATTTCATGTTTTTATTAAACCATTTTTGTTTTAAAGTAAAGTGGAAAGTCCCATATTTGGAATCGCTGCGTCTTTTGAAAGTTCAGGAAATTGACTTTTCGGATAATAGGCCTTTAAGGAAACAAATATTCAAACACAATTATTCAATAAAAGCTACAAATAGACGATAATAAACGTCAATCTCAATCAACAAAATTTACATCCATGTGCTTTGTGTAATTGTGCTATTTTTGCAGTCTTCGTAACAGATTTCCACACGGTTTTTTAAAATCTCGATATTTGAATATGCCATTATAACATATTGCACATTCCGAATCATGCATTTCAGTTAGTTATGATGATTTCTTAATGGCGATTCCGCACTGAATCCATGTGGTTTAGTCTATCATTTTTTTGGTAGTTAAAACCGATTTTCACTTAGTTTTTAAAATCTCGATGTTTTAATATGTTATTTTATTCAGTAAACTTCGAATCAAGCATTTTGTACTCAATTATTAATGATTCACCTGCAATCCCACATGGATTTAGATCACATTTTTGTCAGTTTTATTAAGTATTTTCATAGTTTTTATGCTACATTACCATACATCGGAAATTTCATATTGCACATTAGAAGAATTACAACTTGATGCACTCGATTAGTGACGATTTTATTGCCCATATGGTGCTGTTGATCGCATTTTCAACAGTTTGGGATTTCCACATAGTTTTCAAAATTTTGATTTCATATTTAATATAATATTATTACAATACAAGAATTCCAAATCCCGCTTTTATATAATCACTTTATGACCCGCGTAAGATGTGACAATTTAATCTCACATCCGCAATTTTTTCAAAATGTGAAATTTTTACACAGTCTAAAATTGTGAGTGTGTTTCTTGGCAGTAACAATCTTTTTGCGCGAGGTGTAAGAAAAAATACAAAAAAAAAAATTCACGCCGTAGTGAAATAGATTTTGTTTCAGTGATATCTAATTTTTTTTTTCTTCTCCATATTACAGCGGAAATTGAAAAAAAAATTGAACAAAAAGCATATAGAAGAGGAAAAGCGAAGTATTCTTACACCTGTATACTTTTTTTAGCAAGTCGCAAATGTAAAAAAAAAATTAAATATGTTTATTTTGATTGCTAAAAAGTGTCCGGAAAAAGAGACCCTTCCGATACGGATGTCCGGATACAGAACTTTTTACTGTATTTATTGCTTAAGGAGCAGAAAAGCTGCAAGACATGACAAATTTTCACAACTCTTGATGGCTCAGAGAAGAAAAAAACCTTATTTTAAAAAGATTATTAAAAAAAATTCACAAAATCCATAATTTGTATAACATAACTGTAAGATCAGAATCTTGATTATGAAATCATAATAGTTATGGATAAATTGTGAGATTACTGATATGAAATATAGTCATAAAAACTAACCTCCACTCATCAATGGATAATAATGCCTGGAACTTTTGGACAACTTGAAGTACAACACTTTCCCCATGGATCCAATAAACATCATCAGATAAAGTGTGAGCAAGTCTTATCCCATATAAGCCTTCAAACACTCGAGAACCACAAGCAATTTGACTGCTCACTGCTTGTACTACAGTCTAAAACAAATCATTCAATAGTTTTTATTATATTTTTAAAAAAAAAAATACATGATTTTTATAATAATTAAAATATTACCAAAAGTCATCAGATTTTAGCATTGTGTCAACGGTTTATATTAAAATCATCTGATTTTCTTTTCAATTGAAATTATAAATTTTAATAATTTTTATTTTTCCTTCAATTATATAATTATTTTTAATGCATATTCTAAGGTACTTTCAAAATAATTATTAATAAAATAATTTTCAAAATAATTATAAATAAAATACATACATTTAAAAAAAATCCTATTTTGTCAATTTTATAAAAATAGTAATAATCATTTTTTATACAAACTTTTATTTTCATTGTATTTGCTGAAAAAAATATATCCTCTACCCAGCAGATAATTTTTCCATACAAAATGTTAAATTAGCATGCATTATATTTTATTTCCTTTTAAAAATCTTAGTTATAAACCCCAGAAAATTGTATGCGCATTCATTTCGGCATAATGGAATAAATATAACACAGCTAAAAATCAATAAAACCTTATACATTTCCTTTATAAAATTATTATTGGAATTGATAAAAAAATCATTTCTTATTTTCTTGTCAATTAAGATTAGTTATTTTAATAGCTTTCAATGACTTATAAAATTATACCAATAACAAATTTCACAAAAAAAATTCATTTCTGTATAATAAAATGTTTGCAAAACTGATATAAATCAATGTAGAATATATATAAAAATTTAATTTATTATTAATTTTCAGAATAGTCACATTAATTCTTTTATGTTTAACATAAAAGAGTAAATAAGTTTATCGCACATAGCTTGCTTTCAAATAATTTCAGTTAAATTACAATTCAATTAATAAAAATTTAAAGTTAAATTATAATATGCATTCATTTTTGTACACAATAGAATGTAAACATAACACAGATATAAATCAATATGGAATTCTATATAAATTTTATTTACAATTATTTTTTAGTAACATTAAAACACTGGAAAGATAAGGACTCATATTTTAAAATTTTTTAACTTACTTTAACTAAAGTATCGACAGCAAATTTAACTATAACGCAACTTCCGGAATTCAAGTAAACTTTTAGTATAGCTGCTTCCAAAGCTTCAGTGGTAGGGCTATTTAATTTTGACGTCGGTGGGGTGGCTGTTTTGTCTTCAACTTTTTCAGTATCCATCCTTGTGAGGAAAAAAAAAAGTAAATAAATTAATGATGAACGTTAATATAAGATAGATAAGATTATCCGATAATATAAGTATACGATATTACTTATTGGGCAAATAAGATTAAGTTTCAATATAATTACGTTTTATTAAGCACACACACTGAGAGAAAATTTAAATAACATATAAATTTGGTTAAATTTTTTACTTATACATGATCAAAGAAGAAATATGATCACTGTATTTTCCCAAATGCATAGTCAGAGTTATTCAAAAACAAGAATTTCCACAAAAGAAATACCTGATATTTTCATAATTTCATGTTGCGGATTTTATAAATCATTATTTGTATTCATGCAGCATCCCTTCTTGACACCGAGAGCAGCAGGAAACCATTTTTATTTTTTATTGTACTTTTCAATATGTTATTTTGTCTCGCTTTACCTAACTTTCCCTATGTATTGTTTAAATCCCTACGATCTATAGTACAGAACTTTCTTGGCAGCCGCTATTCCATTAGAGATCGAAATAGACTACAGATGGCGCAGAGCAGAAGTCTCTACCTATGGCAGCACTTCACATGCTTTCCCCATAGCTTGTGGATAGTCATAGGTCAGATTCGCGGGTCAGATTCATTTACTAAAAAGGTTTCAGACTCGGGGAAGATCGAACTCAAAATAAAATTTTCTTAAACTTTTTATTACTTTTAAGCAACCGTTTGGTTCAGTTTTTTAATATAAAAAGTGTGAAATTTATAAGGTATAAAAATTACAATAATCTGTTCGGTGCCTTTGCTTTGTCTGGCTAACATGAATAGTCAAATGACATTTATTTTTTAAAAAAATTTCTACTTTTCCTTCCTCATATTTTATTATTATTTTTTTTAATCATCTTAGAATTTCAGTCGGCAATATACCGGACGTCGTAGGACATCGCTCCCATCATCGATTTAATCCCCAAGTAGCACTCAATATCGAATGATCTCGAAAAAACTTCGCTTACGACTTCGATCGATGTTGTTCCGAAACATCGATCTATGTAAAAACGTCANGGCGGTGTTCTAATGACTCAGTGAAAGATTCGATTAAGTCTGGTAGTGAAAAGTACATCGTGAGCTTTTTATCATCGAGCATTTTCGGGGATTGATAAGCGTCAGCAAGCAAAGGACGGACACCCCCCCCACACACACACAACATATCTTCTTGTCAGTAAAAAATTTTTTTAATGGCAATAGTATTCATTAAAATTATTCATCTGTGCAAGATTCTAAATTTCTAGAATCCACTTCTAAATTTTCTAAATTCCAATCCTAGATTTTTTTTTTTTTTCGCTTTCTGTTTTACAAGTCAGAGAAGGAAAATTTTTTTTTTATTGACTGACTTCCTAGCTTAGACATCAAAGACAGAGCTGCGAAACGGCAATATCTAGAATTTATCTGCCGTACAGAGCATAAAATCGTACACGCCTAGAGAAATCAAATTTAAAAAGTATAGTTTTTTTAAAATTCGATTTATCAGACAGATTTCACTCAAATTTTGTATTTTTGCCATATAATGCATTATATTCTTTAAACTAATGTTAAAAATTGTATGCCCCACAATCAAAAAAGATTTTCGACTATTTTCAGATTAAATAATAAAAAATAATAAATATTTACAAAAAATTCATTATATTCGCTTGAAATTATCTTTGGATAAACGAATTTTATTATTGTGTGTGAGCAATTTTTAATTCGTTAAAAAAAATTCTCGAATCTCGAATCTAGGCCCAAAAAATAAAATTAACATTAAGGGGTCGAAACTTCGGTTCGCTCTGGAAACCAAACTATTGGTTACAGATCTCCCCGATTGCAGCTACCCCTTATATTTTGGGGGTCAGAAATCCAAATGGGTCGAACGAAAGGTATGTTTGTTCAGCGAAAGTGCGTTTTTGTGTCTGATTTTGTAACATAAAATATCTACTAATTTTTTAAATTTTTCGGTACAAATTTAATCATTTATATATAGCAATGTCTCGTATAACTTTTTATTTTATTATGTTTATTCATTTTGTTTTTTGTTGGTTTTGACATTAAATCAAGCATAAAGTTTATAAAATTAAATCTCGTAAATGATAAATTTTTCGATAACAACGGATAAATAGTACTTTTTAATGTGAAAAAAGTTTTTGAATAAAGAACTCAAAATTGCATTGACTTTCGCACAATTTAAAATTTCGGAAAAAAAAAACTTAAATACATAAATTAAAATGGTCCATTCAAAACGTCGATTTCAACTTCATGGTTGCGTTTCGGCAGGCTTTAAGTTGGATAGAATAATACATATAAAAAATTTTATTTGGAGCATTTTGTAAGTTATCTAATTCCGAAAATAGAACTTACATTTTTGTTTCAACTAAACTTAACCTCTTCTTAGGAATAAATTGTGTTTAATTACATCGCTCTCTGAATCTGTGTCAACACTGGATAGTTCCTAATTTTTAACTCAAAACCACAACATTCTAAAAAAAATATATGGCTGAATTATTCCTCTTGGAAGAACGAAACTATCACGCTTGAAAATTATAGCCGGAAAAGAGGAAAGACCAATGTAAGAGAACTTTCTGTTGCGAAAATAATTTTTTATTTTAATCGTCTGCGCTCTTCATTTTAATTTAGCCCATTTCTTAATAGTTTTTTCTCTCATTCTATTATCTGATAGTAATGATCTAATAAGGTTGATAAAGAAAATGTCGTGTGTTAAGTGAAAGTCAGGAAGTGAAAATATGATTAAAAATCTTCTTATGCATAATTTTTGATCAAGCCGCTCTGCATCGAATAAGAAACTATTTCTTGTTTAAAATGCTTCACTTAGTCAGTCTTTTCAAACCGAAGTCTCTAACCTCCGGTCCGCGGACCGGTCCATGGATAAAATGGTACCGGGCCGATTTATCGGCAAGTTTTAAATATATTATTTAAAACATGTAGAAAAATGCAAAATTCTATTTGTTTTCATAATATATTCATGTAGAGCTTATATCTTATCTTGTTCGATAGAAAATTACATGACTTTTATTTGGATATTGCAGCATTTACACAAAAAGAATATAAAAATCAAATAATTTACTATCGGTCAAGACAATATATAGCTCTTCATGAATATAATATAAAAACAAATCGAATTTTGCATTTTTCTATTTCCGTTAAAGTATGTTTAAAAATTGACGAGAAATCCAATCCACACGCTCAAAATCCTTCTACACATTCTGAAGTTTTAAGGGTTGGTTGAATGCTGCCGGGCTGCCCAAGGTCTGAATCATTTCCATTTTATTTACGTTGGTGTATTTCTCTCAGGTTTATGCGGCTTTCCATGAACGAGAGGTTAAGTGGGAGTTTAAATATAATTAAATTAAAATTATTAAATCAAAATCATGCAAGCAATCAACACCCCCGCCCCTCAGGGAGTCGTGGAAAAATTTACAAGCATTGACCGAGCCGTGGAGATAAAAAGTTTGGGGAGCACTGGTTTAAAATAAAAGGAACATTCAATACAGTTAAAATGAGTTCCCGGGCCTGTTCTCTTAAAATAAACAAATGTAAATTTTTTTGTGCATTTGTTTATTTTAAGAGAACAGGCCCGGGAACTCATTTTAACTCTATAGAATGTTCCTTTTATTTTAAACCAATGCTCCCCAAACTTTTTATCTCCACGGCCCGGTCAATGTTTGTTAAATATTCCACGACTCCATGAGGGGCGGGGGCGTTGTTTGCTTCAGTTACTAAAAATATACAACAAAAAAAATCTAGAAATAAAAAGTTTATAAATCAATAAATTAATAATCTCAATAATACATTTTATTAGATTATTTTTCGATTTAAAAAAAATCTCAGTAATACATACCTTTATTACCTCGAAATATATCCGTTACACCGTTCTTTCAATATTTCAATGAATTTATTGCATTCCATTCCGTACCATACATCCACCCATATTTAACATTTATTCAACAAAACATTGGTTTTCTCAATTTTCTATGAAATTAGGATTGCTTCAGTTTAATCACTCTAAGAGTTTGGTTTGCATAAACGTGATTTTAGTCAATATGAAAGCTAACTTTAGATTACAAATAATGAAATAACTTAAATGTAGGGCGAAAATTATCAATGTGAACCTCGAAGTCCGGAAAAAAAATTTAAAAAGCGTGATAAAATATTTATTTGGTCACTTGATTTGATCATGAAACGCGAAAGCAACTACTGTAAATGGTGAAAAATAATATTGACATAAATTCAGCGGCTTTAAAATTCTAAAGCCAACAAGAATACACTGACCTTGTGTCTCAAATAAGCTTCTTTTTTTTTAAAAAAAAAATATGTACTGATGTAAAGATATTTACCGATAATTTATTTAATTTATAATTTATTTCATAAGCATCTCATTAAAGAGGAATTATCCTACTGCATGAGTTTCATTTTATTCATGTATTGAAAATAATAGCTCTAAACAAGATGGAATTAGTTTTATTCCAATGAGGCAAAAGTTTCAAAGGTTTGTATATTTATTTAAATGAAATCTGAAAAAAAAACTGTTTGAAGAATTGCATGATAAAATTGTTCTAATGGTTTTAAGAAAAAATTACATATCCAGCAAATGCTAAAAAGGATGAAATATGGAGTCAAACGGGGTTTGAGGAAAGTGGAGCCAAGTGGATTCAGTAGCAATTGGCACTACATACACTATCTGGCCATTAATGACCGGACACCTCTCATTTCGGATACATGAGGTGCTAGTATCAAGTCAGTAGGGTGTAGGGCCGCCACGCGCCCGAATCACAGCTTTAACCCTTCTAGGAAGGCTATCCACTAGGTGTTGGTACACGGCGGCAGATATTGCCCGTCATTCCTCCTGTAACATGGCGAAGAGTTGAGTGGTGGTTTTGGGGCGTTGTGGTCTGGCCCTCAACCGGCGCTCCAACTCATCCCAGAGATGCTCAATTGGATTGATGTCGGGACTTTGGGATGGCCAGTCAAGCTCTTGCACCCCCATTTCATCAAACCAGTCCGTGATGGCATGTGCTTTATGAATGGCAGCGTTATCGTGTTGAAACACAAACGGGCCATTACCGAACTGTTGCCACAGGGTGGGAAGCGCCGAATTGTCCAGGATGTCTCTATACCCTTCTGCGTTCAGGGTTCCACGCACTAACACCAAGGGTCCAAGGCCAAACCATGAGAAACAGGACCACACCATAATTCCTCCACCGCCGAACTTCACAGTGGGGACAATGCACTCCGGTAGGTACCGTTCTCCGGGCATTCGCCAGGTCCACACCCGTCCATCAGAGTGCCACAACATGTAGCGTGACTCATCACTCCACATAACGCTTTTCCATTGCTCTACTGTCCACTGGCGACGTGCTCTGCACCACTGAAATCGGTGGCGGGCGTTTGATGGAGAGATGTTTGGCTTATGTGCTGCTGCTCGTCCATGGAATCCTTGTGCAATCAGCTCCCGACGAATGGTACGTGCACTGGCAACACT